AAAAAAAAAAAAAAAAAAAAAAGAACTAGGAGTAGAGGTCTAACTCGAATCTGAACTTTCTAGAAGTCAGAACCAAAGAAAATATGTGAGGATGTCATCGTTCCTTGTCATCCCTCAGTGTCCTCAGGGATTAGTTCCAGGACCCACTCGGATCCCAATATCCGTGGAAGCTCAAGTCCCTTATATAAAACAACATAGTATTTGCATATAACCAATGCACGTCCTCCTGCATCCTTTAAATCACCTCTAGACCACGTATAATACCTAATACAATGTAAATGCTATATAAACAGCTGTAAATACCATGTAAAAGCTATGAAATAGTTGCCAGAGCACAGCAAATTCAAGTTTTGCTTTGTGAAACTTTCTGGATTGTTTTAGTCGAATATTTTTCATCTGAGGTTGGTCAAATCCATGGATGTGGAACCATCAGATACACAGAGGGCTGACTGTATGCGATCCCCATGCTTCAATAAAAGGCTTAGTAGGAAGCCTTAGTAGGTGTATATTTAAGGAAGGCTTAGTAGGTGTATATTTATATAAGTAACTTAATAGACCTGTCTTTGACTATGGTTTTGTAGAAGATCCAGAAATATTTTTCAAATGATTCTTTCTTTTATTGTTATTTTATTTAAAAAGCCAACAGCATGGTGTTTAATTATGACTTAAGAAAGTCAGTCTTGAGGAAACAGATAATATGGTCTAGTAAGTTATTTCCTGATAATATGGAGATAGAACTCAAAGGATCTGGGGAAATTAATATTTAATATATTCATTAGCTATTTTTCCCAACTCTCAGATGGCTCAACTGAGCTGCTAGCAAGCAGAATAAATTCCTGGTTGAATTTTCTGCTGAAGTGCTAATTTCTGGTGGGGTTAATGCATGCATATTGTTTGTGTACTGAATACGGAAAAATTGGTGTTCTGTTATTAAAAATGTTTTGGCCCATGGATAAAAGAAGAGTGAGTTATATGAAGTCTACATTCTTATTTTCTAAAGAGATGAGAAAGTATATCAATGATTAGTAAATGGAACAGTTCCCAATGCCTTCTTCCTCATTCGTTATGCAAGATAACAGTTTGAAAACCCAAATTTTAAAAAAGAAAAAGAAGAAAAAAGTCTTTGTTTATATATTACTAGGTCTATAGTTTGGTGGTATGGGTGCGGGACTGAAAGATATAAACATTCTTGAAATGGATAAAATGCCACTTTGAGTCTATTTAAAAGAAAGAAATCCTGAGAAGCTATTTCAGATCAATAATTTGGCAACAGTAGGGATGGGGGCACACTGCTCAGTACAAGCTAACAATTCTGGCAAAAGAATGTTCCACAAAGTCCTTTTTCATCTTTAGGTCATCGATCAGAGGTTTTCAAAAGGACAGGGTTGCTGGATCCCAGCTTGGTGGAACTCCTCACTCTACAAACCTTTCAAAGATCATTATCAGATAATAGGTTTCCCACCCCTACCCAACCACCCCACACCATTTCTCTTAAAAAAAAAAAATCAAGAGTCTCAATATCCCAGTACTAACTACCATCATTTCCTACTCACAGAACACTTCTAACACCAAATGTGTGGGTTTTGCACAACAAACAATTCTCCAGTTCTCTCCAGACACCAACTAGGTATCCTATAATTTAGTTCTGACACTATCTGAAGTTAGCACAGACCCCACAGATTTAGGGCTCAGTCCCACAAGACTGCTTCCTACTTCGGATAGCAGTCCAAAGTCCTGGGTTGTCACTGGTACTTCTACCGAAGAAGGTTCCCAGACTCCCTTTGCGGATTCAATGATTTGCTTTAATGGTTCACAGAATTCAGGGGAACACTGTACTTACTGACAGAGAGGAAGAAACTTTCATCTCCCCTTCTAGGTTCTTCTGGCTCATCTAAGAATTAAACTGACCTGAGACAGATCAACAGAAGAAAGTCAAACAAAAATTTAATAACATGTATCCGCGGGAGAGACCCAGGAAAACTGAGTAACTCACCAGAATGGCTGTAAACCTGACCTTAAATATCACCTTCAGCTAAAAACAAAAGAGGATATTAGGGGTAGTGGTTTTGGACTTCAAAGGGAAGGAAGGTAATTCATGTGCAGATGGAAAGGCAAATGTGTGGTAAATAAATGTTTGCTGGGCAACCCAGAGCCAATAGGATACAGGATGGACTCTGATCTTTAGGTTCTGCCTAGAGTTTCCCCCAACACATCTACCCCATATTTTGGGCAGACATCTCTGGTGATAGCTCTATTGAGGGAACAGGCCCTCCATCTAAATTTTTTTAGGCAGCTAAGATGAAGTTTAAAGTTTCTTCCTGAAACTTCTCTAGGCAGGAAACACAAGAGACGGAAAAGACCTACAATAACAAACCCAAAACAATTAAGAAAATGGGAATAGGAACATACATATCGATAATTACCTTAAATATAAATGGAATAAATGCTCCAACCAAAAGACATAGACTGGCTGAATGGATACAAAAACAAGACCCATATATATGCTGTCTACAAGAGACCCACCTCAGACCTAGGGACACATACAGACTGAAAGGGAGGGGATGGAAAAAGATATTCCATGCAAATGGAAATCAAAAGAAAGCTGGAGTAGCAATTCTCATATCAGACAAAATAGACTTTAAAATAAAGACTATTACAAGAGGCAAAGAAGGACACTCCATACTGATCAAGGGATCAATCCAAGAAGAAGATACAACAATTGTAAATATTTATGCACCCAATATAGGAGCACCTCAATACG